TATATATATATATATATATATATATATATAATGCTTATTTCTTTGCATAGTACTTCAGGATGCAGTTCCACAAATTTACTCTTGAGTTTTAGGTTGTAATCTTTGTAGAATAATGTTACAGTAAATCTCCTTCTTTTTAAATTTAGAGTTTTTCAGTAAATCCTCGTCAGGACGCATAGAGGGAGGATAAGACTTGCTTTGATCATTAGGAAGTTTGAGGTCTTTTTTTGTCAATTTTTAATCTTTTTTTGATGACTTGAGGTTGCTCTTTCAACTAATATCTCATTCATTTAGTTTCTTGTATATAACACTTTTATTTGGGAAAAAGCTTTTACACTCACTTTTGGAGCAGTAAGCGTTTTGACTTTTGTCACCATACACTTCTGTCCCAAAGAACCTACTGTGCTGTTAGTTGGAAATGCCTGAACAAAGAGAAGGCTTTTCTTTATGCGATTTTTTTTGTTTGACATCGTTGATAGTTATTTAAAATTGGCCTTTAGAGCAACTCATCTAAACAGTTCAGTGGGTTTTGACGTCTGGTAGCATGTGTTAGTTGAGCACCACTATAAATGGCATTTCTAAAAACACTCAGAAAATTCATTTTTTCAGCAAATGGTAAGCGGCCTCATGACGGTTCTGCTGAGCATAATGTGAAAGAGGACGCTTGGGCACTAGATGACGTTATTTTTATTCATGAAGAAACTTCCCCTGATGTTGCAGTTGTAAAAATTGTGAGGGTTAAATACATTATAAGGTCTTCAGAACACTAAGATCAAAATTTTTTAGTTTTACAACTATTCTGAATATTTATTTTGAGGTTGATGGGGCCCTTTGTGAAATCGAATATAAACCTATAAAAACCGAAAAAGCTGGTGGTGGAGAGGCTTCTAGTTCACACGTTTTAAATGATTCTGCAAATGATACAAAAAGGATACGCTTGTTACGGAAAGATGATTTGGTCATTGTTTCTTCCACAAATCGGGTTCCGCAGTCTCCAGAAAATTTCCAGTATGCCCTGCAAAAAGTTAATCTTCCAAGCGGGATTGCTACACGCAAGATTCATTCCGTTACTGTGGATGACACTAGTAATACACTTTTTTACTCTTATTTGTTTAGAAGTTCAGTTTTTTGTCTGAATTCTGAAATTAAAAATTATTGTGAAACTCAATTTAATTTAAAACAAGTCTTTTGTCTTTTACATGAAATTTTTAATTTACGATGCTCTTAACAAGGTCTGCGTTTTCTTGTCGAACGACGAGGTCGTCTGCATTTTGTGCGGGTTACGGTTTTTGGCAAAATTTTAAGCAATCATTTACTACCAATGAGCGCGGTGGCTCTGTGTGGTGCTACGCAGAACAGTCCACAGCTTATGAATTCTGGCGATGTAAATATTGGTTCTTATGCGTATCATTTTTATAAGTGACTTTTTTGCGAATTGAGCCTTTTATGGTAAATTAAATTTTTTTTCAAGGACTATTTGGCAGTAATTCGAGATGGGAATGGTTCGATAGCTCCGTTGGTTCGCGATGCTGTTGGTGGCTATCAGGAACCAACTTATCTTCATCTTCCACCGATCTACAGATTTGCCATTGGATTCCGACCGATTGAGGGCGATACCTGGAATACATATTATGTTGATAAAGAGAAGGTTGTCGCAAAAACTGATGGTACTTGTTATGCCTTTTCACTCTGCCGGCGTTTCTTTTCCATGACGTAATGAATTAAATTTGAACAGACTTTTCTGTACTTCTCTGCTGTGACAGCCACTCTTGTTTTAATTTCTTGTAATTTTTTCACACTGGCCGTTTAGCAACTTCAAATAACGTACCTACGAGAATGACCCTAGTAGCTGCGCTCATTGCTCCGTCGCCTAATAAGGCTACTCCATCAGTTCCATCTCTTATGCAAACAATTTTATATTGTGATTTGAAAAGTACAGAGATGATCTTGGATGCTCTAGGGAAAGAATCATGTAATTTTTACTCGTGAATTGTTTCACCTAGTGGCTGGTGATATGGTAATTTGCATCTCAGCAATACATTATTCTATTTAGGTAAAGATTTAGTAAGAAATGAGATAATTTCTGCTAGAAGCGATGGCAATCGAACGATCCTTCATGTTGCCGTAATGAACGCATTTGCAACGGCTACTAAAGATGATTCTGACACCGCCGATATAGTTGTTGAAGAGGATAGAAAAATATTGACGGAACAACATGGTGCTATATTGAACTTCTTTGCAGTTAGAAATTAGTTTATTCAATGCAGTCGATAGTTTTGTATATACAACTGTCTTTGATTTTTTTGGGTGTAGTATTTCTAAATAAGTTTTTTGTTCACTGTCATTACTTGGAGATGTTGAAATGAAAGCAGCTGACGAAACTCGCGCGTCATACGACCAAAGATGGCAGTATATGTTAAGGCGCCGCAGTGGTCAGGTTCCGAGGTAAAAATCTCGTTTTTTTTTTCTCTTCAAACATGGTTTTTATATCGGTCTTACAGCGAGCCTGTTATTGTGAAAGATATAATATATTCCAATCGCCGTTCAACATCTGAGCTCAAGAATGATGAAAATGGTAATTATTTTGTCTTTTTTTAACTTCAAGGGTATTTTCTTTCCTTTTACCGCGTAAGTGCAACTTAATGTAGTTCCGATTTTGCCGACTGCTTGTTCGGATCCCCGACAACGTCAGTTGAATTCAATCGAAATAGTTAAGCTTTTATGCAGGCATCCGACTGTTACACCATATCTGTTTGAACTTCTTAGTACCCGGTTAGCATTTTAAACTTCTTCAGGGTCAAATTACTTTTAGTCTTTTTTTACTGTGCATAGATTTAAATAATAGAACATTACTTTTAGTGACATTAGCGGTCATACACCGTTTATGTGTGCTGTCAATGTGAGAGCATATACTGCTGCGCTTTTCATTTGGTTTGCGATTAAAGAGTTGCAGAGTGAAGCTGCTAATGGTAAAAGTTTTAAAAGATTTTTATATGACGTTTAGCTTAAATATTCTTGGATATTCTGAAGATTTTGTATTCTAGCAAAAAAAACAGCTGATCATATATTGTCCTCAGCGGTGTTTCCAAATGCCAGCAGAGCTGATGATTCTCCTCTTTTTGTCCTTTGTGTTAATGACACATGTAGTTATACTTGGACGGGCGAAGCCCATATTAATCAGGTATTTGTTGAATTTTCGAGCTCTAGAATTCCGTGTTTGTTATCTGGCTGTCCACAGATAATTGCGTCTCTTATGTAGTTTCATGTTGTTTAAAGGAGTGATTACAGGATATTTTTGAATGTAAAACGTGCGGGTTGGTGGGTACATTATGTTGTTGTACGGAATGTGCCTATACTTGTCATAGAAACCATGATTGCAAGTTGGTTTACAACACAGTTTTGTTTATTTTTAAATGAAATAGTGGTTAAGCTATTAGTTTTCTTTCGATCGAATTCTTCTTTACATTTATGCCGCTCTCTTTTTTTTCTAAATTTATATGAAACGAAGCACTGTCCTAATCACTTGTTTTCGTAAATTTGTCTATTGCCATCAATTGCTAACAACTTTTTAGGTTGAAAAGGACGTCTCCCACTGCATACTGTGATTGTTGGGAAAAATGCCAGTGCAAGGGTCTAATGTCTGGGAATCTCGTACATAGAGAAAGATTGCTGGAGCTTTTGATGCATGATACTGACTTGATCAATCAGATTAGTTCGAAGTATATATACCTTTTTTATTTGGTGTATTTATCACTTCGACTGAACTTAGAAAAACTCGTTTTTGCTAGGGGTGAACATTTGATGCTTTTCCTCGCGAAAACAGTCGGGAGGCAAATGGTCGAGCAGGAGCAGTGTAGAAGATCAAAAACAAAATCACAAGGTTTAGGTGGCGTTTAAAGCAGTTTTTCATGTTCTTGTTATACTTTTTAAATAAATATTTTTTAACCTCAAGCGGTTAAATTTTAGATAATTCTCATTCAAATGACCTTGAGCCGCCAAAGTTTGCCCGCACAGCATTTATGAAATTTTTGTCGAGTTGGGAGTGTGTAAAAAGCCTTGCGGTGTTTGGAGTCAAAGAACAAGAGAGGTTGCTGTTGTTTTTTACACCTCCCACTTTTTTTGGTGTTTGGCTTTAAGTTACCGAAGATCAGATCTCAGTTAATCCTAGTTTGTGAAGTAGATTTTGGTGTTACTACTAAAAAAGAAAAATGTTTTTTAACGGCTTTGCGCCTGTTCAGTCAAGCTTAGGTCTCGTCAAAGTTTGGTTTTTGATTATCTTTTTTTCTTAGGGACGAACCTATAGTGGAAGAGACCTTGTACTTGAAACATCAAAGCGGAAGTTCTCATCTTGATAAATTCACTTACACTTTACTGGCCAAATGTTCTGAGACCGTGAGTAGAATTATATTTTTTTAAATTTTTTTTTGTTTAAAAAATTTTAATTTTTGGGTTGTTCATTGACAGTTGTTTCAAATTATACTTTTGTACTTTGTATGATGTTTCTTATCAATTGCTTTATAAATTAGTTTATTACTGTTACTGCCTGGCGGGCGCTTTATTTCATAGTTATTTACTAAATAAAACTTTTTGGTCATAATAGGTTATAGTATTAAGTATTACAACTTTAAGTCTGTTACACTCAAAATTTCAGCACATTGACACTTTGCTAAATACGTTAGTTTCCGCGGCAAATAAAAAAGGGGCTTCCGAAGATAAGAGCGATTCTGAAGTGGATTTTATCATTTCCAGATTCATACGATCAGTAATTAGGTGAATAAATTTTTCTAATTCATTTGATAGAGAG